ATCTCATGGAGACTGTGAGCCACAGCATACACAGAATTATATATGTTGTAAGCCTCTTCAGTCATTTCCATTTTCCACAGATTTGAAGGAAATAATTCCAAAGAAGCATTGAATAGACAATGACCTGATATTTTACAGTCAGGTAAAGATAAAGAGCAATTAAAGAAAGTATTCCACAAAATACTAAGACAATGGTCTTCTGGGTATTTAGAAGGAGTATATGTATGGATAAATTTTCTAAAAAGAGAAATCTCGTCATGATGGTTTCCAAAAAAAAGAGTGCCATGAAATGAACCATAAACCAGAGGTTCTATAATGGTACCAACATACAATTGTGAATTCATGACCAAAACTTTCCATGTGTTTAAGGAATATATTGCATATAGCATTAAGCCATATACAAATTCCATATCATCATAAATGATAACCACATTTGCAGATGATATTAAGAGCAAGTGAGAAGTTTCTTTGTATGCATATTGAAAGTCAATCAAACTTTTTGACATCATTTTCACAAAAGCTACACACATGTTATTCCTTTGAAACTCTTTCATAAAATCTGATAGAATCTGAAGTCCTTTATGGTTATCCATGAGGAACAACCCCACCCAGGTCCAGCTGAAATGAAGCATCAAAGAGACAATGCCAAATGTCAGAGATGTGTCCTTTGAAGCTGTCTGGTAGAGAGAAGAAAGCTGGCCTCCATCACTCAGGATAGTGTCAAATGGCCCAAAACTAAGCTGAAGGGATTATCAAATCAGAAACAAGAATGAAAATATTGATATAGAACACAAACTTGCACCTGAAGAAGCACTTGGGTTCAGTAGGGACTAACTTGTCTTCGTGGTATTTTAAAATCCTATCTCATTCCTCAAGACATATTGAGAGTTCCTGATAAGACACAGAGTTATCTAAATAGGCTCTGTGGGCTCCACCCTCTTCACCTTCTCCATCTAAAGGCAAAGTATATGAGACTACATAACCAAATGCCTGACTTCTCTTGGACAAGCCATGAGCCTCTTTCCTTTACCTGAGATAACACCTAAAATATTTGCATTTCAGTACTGTTTACTTGCTCCCTCATGGCCACATCCCTCACCTGTGGATATCTGTAGAGATTTAGCAGTCTCCCAATATGGCTAGTTGTTTCTTGTGATGTTCCCGTAAGTAGAGCAGCAGCTTTGTTCTCCCTTCTACATGTGTAATTGGGAATTTTGATTCCCATTCCTGTGAGCCAATGAAAAGCTTCCCTGAGAAAATCCCATTCATAGTGATCAACATAATAGAGATCAAATCCTAGAGATGTGTTGGGTAAAAGATGAGGGTTCCTGTTGATCTCCTCAATGGCAAATATGAAGGCCAAAGAACACTGGTAGTTCTTCAACTTGAACCTGCATAGAAGTTTTGTAAATATTGTTAAAGTGGACCCATTCCATACTGTGTTACCAGCTTGATGCAACTGCTTTTATAATTTTAATGTCATATTTATACTAACAAATAATTTTATGTAAGCCCAGGAATGGTTATAATTTGGATGTGCAGCACATATTAAGCAATGGTTTCCTTACCTCAAAGTCTTAAGTAAATCCACAAGTCACTGGGAGAAAAGCTGAGTTGAACAGATAGCACTGGTGATATCTTTGAATAAGGAGATCCACATGGCAGACCAACTAGTGTTTTGACACTTTAGGGAAATTATCATCCAATGAAATCTTTCATTTTGAGAACCTATTCTGGTTCTCCAATATTGTCCCCATAGCTTATGGTTATGAATTAGCTATAAGAGAACATTATTCCTAAACCAGAAGATTTTTCTCATACTGTATATTGAACTTTCTTTCCTCTAGCAGTTGATAGGAACAGATAAAGAGATGTACAAACATTAGGCTAATCTCAGGGGACCCAGCAGAAGAGGAAGAGGAAGGATTGCAGGAGCCAGAGGTGTTGAGGACAGCAGGAGAACTAAGGAATCAAAGAGCCAGACCCAAGAGGACTATCCAAAAGCAGGACTCATAGGGGCTTAGAGAGACTGAAGGGGCAAACCAGGTGGCCTGCATGGGTCTGTACGAGGCCCTTACACATAAGCTGTTGTTGTTACCTTGGAGTTTTGTTGGAATCTTAACACTGGGAGTGAAGTGTCTCTGACTCTGTTTCTACCTCCTGAGATAAATTTCTTTCTACTAGTGAGTGTGAAGAGTGGAGCTAAAGGAAGCTGTAGTTGTGATGTATTGTATATTATAAAATTATTTTTTAAGAAAAAGATTAATTTATATCTGTGCTTTTAAATCTGATATATGCATATAATAATGTATATGTAGACATAAATCATGTTACTGTTTTTAAGAATTTTTTTCAATCTTTTTTTAATTAAGAAAATTTTTTAATTCATTTTACATACCATTCAAAGATTGCCCCTCTTCTCTCCTCCTGCCCCTCAACCTCCCCCTCCCAAGACACCCCTATCCCCCCTACAAGAAGGTAAGGCCTCCCATGGGGAGGTACATTTAGTAGAGTCAGGTTCAAGCCACTCCCCCTG